TGCTTAGAACTTTTCTCACTTAACCTTCCATAAAGTAGTGTGCTGCCCCAAATGACTGTCCTGGGCTATATTTTTATAATGTAATTGTGCAAAAAGTAATTAAAAGAAGGAAGTCACACCTTTTGTGTTTCAGTAGCACGTGGAAACAGGAAACGCTGGGCCATACCTCTGTGATTACTATCCATATTGACCTGTTTTGATAATGGAAGGCTCTTGTTAATTCATTAGTGACTTGGGGAGGAAAAGCTTTTAGTTTGCTAAAAGTTCGTTATTCTTAGCATAGTTGTTTAAAGATGGAGAACTTGGGAAGCATGATATATATTATGAGGTAATATAAAATATTAGAGCTTTTAATTCCTAGTATTTTGAAAATGATTGCCTGTGTATTTTATTTTATTTGGCAATTTTACTCTAATGATTGGTAGACCATAACAGAAGGAATTTAGTTGCAGTTCACCTCCTTTCTGGGCACAGAAGCCATTCTAACTCTGCAGTGCTCGTTCCTTCCTTTGGCAGGCTCAGTCCTCCTGTTCTTCCACTGTGCTCCTTAAAGGAAATCCAGCTGTCTACTGATAAATTTTTCAGAATGGAACCGTCAGAAATCAACAATGGTTGTTTTCTTTCTATTTTAACAAGAGAGGTAAGGAAGAACACATCCCAGTTGATGCCACACTTGGGAATGGTAAGCGCTCCTCAGAGGAGCTCGGGAACTTTGTAAACATTGTGTGCTAGGGTGCTTGTATCTGATCAACGGCTACAGGGCAGGAGAGAGAATTACTGCTGTATTTCACTTAATTCTTATTCTTCATAGTGCTCCACAGTGTTTCTCTGTTGCCTGCCCTCCACCCCCTGCCTCATGCACTTTGTCACCATCTACTGCATCTTCCCTCACATGTAAGAAAAAAGCTGTGTCATCCTTTTTTTCTACCAGGTTTCTAAAGTTAAGGGGGGTGGTGGTGGTGGTGAGAACCATTTGCTAAAGCTTATGACATACTGTAGAGACTAAGACCCTAAAAACCATTTCTTCTGGTATAATAAAAGACTCCTTTTATTTTTCACTCAAACACTGATGAGGGTTTGTTAATGCACACAGCAGTCACAGCTGACTCCCATACTAAATGTCTGCTTCTGTCACCACAGCGGGACCCAACCGAGACAGTGTCTGTGAAAGACGTGTTGGCCCGAGCTGCTGCAAAGGGTCTGCTGGAGGGGATCGAGTTGGGCAAATCATCAAAACGGGAGAAGAAAAAGAAGAAATCGAAAACATCCTTGCCAAAAGCTTCCATTAATGACAATAATGGCATCCAAGTAAAAATTGCTGAGTTCGTGCATCGCGAAACTAAAGCAAACACCAACCATTCCGAGACATTGGCAGTGAAAACCTCTCTTCCACAGAAAACTACCCCTCAGGTGGGTGCTTCCTCCCAGATCAGAAAACCCATCAAGCCGTGCACCCAGCCCTTGGTGCCTACATTTCTGAAGAACACCTATCCCTCCAGACTATATGAACGGCAGACAAACTTTGTAAGACATCGACCAGAAGACAAAATGGTTGCTCTGAAACCTATTGAGATCGTTTTGCCTCCAGTCATGTTGCCATTCTCAAATCCCGAAGGGCTCAGAGCCCGGTTCCCAGCTCAGCATTTTTACTGTCGATGCGTTGGACCCAAGACTGTTGTGCCCGGCTACATTTCCTCACCATCAATAACCAGAAGAGGAGAAAAGCCTAAAGAAAACTTACCTTCCTCCCTCCTCAGGCACCCTCGACCATGGCTTTGACTGTCTTGCTTTTGTACAGGGACCAAGAACAGTTGCCTTACTGTTTTCCAAAGCCTGGTATTTCTTGGAAGGTTAGACATCCCTTCCAGAAGAGACACATCCTTCTGGTCATGTAGGATCTTCTAAATGTGATATGCTTACTCAGAGAATTAGGACCAGAGAGCACAGTGTAGGGGATGAAGTGGAGTTCCCAGGTTTCACTAGCTCAGTGCTGGCCTGTTTCAGAACGTCCAGTGTAGATTCCATGTCAGCGCTTAGAACTTGTCTCACTTCAGTTCACTTCCAGTCTGGGCATCAGGCTGCAGGCTCCTCCCGCAGGGAGTACTGCCTGCCTCCAGCAGGCTGCTTCTCCAGCTTCACCCGAGAGAGGCAGCCGTGCAGAGGCTGGCCCTCTCAGCCAAGACTGCTCTGTAGAAGCAGACCATTGCTGTTCAACTGTCAGTCACGATCAAGGTCGACTCATTCCCCTTAAATATAAAACTGTAAGAAGCAAAGGAGATTGCAAAGTAGCAGGTGAATGTAGCTCAGATGTCCATTTCTCTTTGGAAGAACTTCGGGGATTCTGAATACGTGTGATATCTATTGTTGAAGAAACCCATGAAGATTTCTGATTCTATTCAAAGATCAGGTGATACAACAAAATCTACAAATCATTTCAAATGGCACATAGTAATCAAACTTTGGCAAATCATTCCTGATGCACAATTAAAATACACTGTAGCACTGTTAATTATATTAAATGTCAATTCCTCTTGAAAGTATTATCAATTGCCTATCAAGAATTGGGATGATTATCATTTTGGGGTCCACAGATTTTTTTTTCCATCATGGAAACAAATTGACATGAATTAGAATAAATTGCAACTTAAAATCTTAATGTTTAAAGAAGTTCATAGACACATTCATAAAATTTGGATTTACAGTTTTATTTTCAGAACTCAGTTGTCTACAAGTGTTATATAAATTCTTAAATGCTCAAGAGGCACAATTTTAGAACATTTATCATCTCCAAGATAAGTATTTAGATCTATTTCAGCTCTAACATTCCATTCTTTCTCATTTGAAGTGAGGTAAATTTAATTTTAATAACATTTTTCCTTTAGCTACAGATTTACATTTATCAGCAAAATGAGTCAGGGAAGAAAGCAAGACTTTTTTAATTCTAATTTTTTTATTTTTATTTTTATTTATTCATTTACTTGAAAGGCAGAGGGACAGAGGGAGGGAGGAAGGGAGGAAGACAGAAAGAGTCAGACAGATATCGATCTTCCACCTGCTGGCTCACTTCCCAGTTGGCTGTAATGGGAGGGGCTGGGCCAGACTGAAACCAGGAAGCAAGAACCCTATCCTGGTCTCCCACGAATGGTGGATCCAAGCACTTGACCCATCTTCCCCTGCCTCCCTGGTCCACCAGCAGGAAGCTGGATCAGAAATTCGACCAGCTGTTCCAATCTGGGATGTGGTATTCTAAGCAGTAGCTTAACCTACTGTGCCACAATGCTTGCCCCCGGAAACAAGACTTGATGCTTGAACCGGACTTGTCACTACTTTGAATCCCCAAAGGACTCCTCATGTTGGTTATGACTCTATAGTACAGAGTTGTTTTAAATGCTTACCTTATTCTACTGATTTAAAAAGAAATGAAGAAACTATCTCTGTGCTCTAAAATTGTAGTGTTTCATTCTTTTTGCCTCTCAAATCTGAGTGTATCCCATGCCCCTGGAAGGGCAGCGTGGCTTAACTGAACAGAAAGAGCTGGTATCTGGGGTGTAGGCACTGGCACAGAGCAAGTTAAGCCGCCACCTGGCACACCTGCATTCCACTCTGGAGTGACTGGGGTACAGACCTGCACTGCTTCCAATCCAGCTTCCTGCCACTGCGCACCTGTGAGGCAGCAGATGATGTCCCAAGTAGTTGGTTCTCTGCTGTCTACGTGGGAGACCCAGATGGAGTTCTCAGCTCCTGGCTGCAGCCTGGGCCCACCTTGGCTGTTGTGGGCATCTGGGGAGTGAACCAGTAGATGGAAGATCTCGCTGTCTCCGCTTGTTTCTCTCTGGCTTTGCTTTTCAAATAAGTGATGTTGTTTAAAGAGCTGGTATTTTCATCCCAGGTATGTTTTATTCTTTTCCTGTGCCCTCATCCATCTGAGGTTGAAAAATATGCCATTGTCCACAAATAGCAGGTCTGAGATTTTTATTTTCAAGTGTATTTTTTATAAGAAGTTCCCATTGTTATGAAATAATTTAAGATATTCTTTAAACTCTCTTGGAGCCTGCGATTGGTGTCACAATTTCTAGCCACTACCTTCCTCTTTTCCTATACACACCTTGGTACTAAGTTCCTTTTTTGTCTTTTGAAGTCTACGAAGATTCTAAATTAAAACATTCATTAGTCAAGGCTGCAGTTTTCTTCTTTCAAAATCTTTGAAGGCCAGGATGGATGAACACTTCAGGTAGTGTAAAAAGGGAAAATGCTTTGGATAAAACCAATGAGAGAATTTTAGTGAAGCATAATATTGATTACACTTTTTGCTTGGCATTTTACTTTCTTGAACTTCTTAGAGAAATGTGCTGCAATAATGTAAAGTAGTGGAATAATGGGTCCAGATAGTGCAATAGCAGATTCAGATCACCACCTGAAATTATTTGCTCCCACACAGCACCTGAAACCCAAAGGAACTTTTGTTTTTGAGAGTCGCTGCCTTTAACAGAGTGAGAGAAACAACTGGGGGTGGCACAGTTTGAACGAAACGTGGGTATGTATTTGAAATTGTCTTTATCTTCCATGTGTCCTAACAGCTCAATGAAACCAGATTTTTCTAGTTCCCTTTCACTATGGAACAAGTGCCTGTATGCCTCTATTCTTCATTCTTTAACATCAAGCTCTTCAATGAAATCAAAGACTTCTTTGTGCTCAAGTATCTTAACCCTAGATGGACAGCTTACGAGGCTCGAGTTGGGACGAAGCAGCTTCTGCGTCCAGGATGCCGGCTGTCTCTCTCGATCACCTAGCATGGGCAGCACAAGCACTCAGAGTGCAAAGTGATTTCCTAGTTCTTACCAGGTGGAAATATGCAAGAGCTAGTCAAAGCAGGACCTTACATTAAGATGTTTCTAAGAACTTAATTCGAGGTAAAAATAAACTGAACACTGGAGAGACGGTCCATGTACATTCCCAGTCCTTGTCTTTATGATTGAGATGGTAGAGAAATGAGCCAGACATTTTATGCAGCTAAATTTATTTTCACAACATATTACATTTTGTAAAAATGGTCAACAGCAAAGGGACAGAAAGGAAAAACCCTTCTTTGGGGATGAACAAGCCGCTCTGGATGCCAGGGACTGCTCTCCTGGATACAGTGTGAGGGAGGGAAATCAAACTTGACTGACTGACACATGAGGCGTGGATTAGCGTAAGCCTGGCCCACTAGAGAGCTCTTGGCTTTATTCATTACATTGTGCTCATAACAGGAAATGTTTTTCACATTGCTTGTGAGGTCCTGGATTTGTGTTGCAATGCTTACAAATGAGAGTGTCATCTGAGGACAGGAGGGGCACCCCGGGGCCTCCAGTCCCGGGCCTTGTTTAACGGGGTACTCTTGTAAGTGTCTATCTTAAACTCAGAAGGTGGATTTTAGAAGAAGTAGCAGTGCCAACAGTTTATCAACAAGAAGTGGAGGTGGGTGTAATGTCCCTTCATGCAATGAGACAGACAGACAAAAACCAGTGGTCCTAATTAACCAGGGATGATCTTTGAGCCGGGGGAGACAAAGGGCACGTGGACATGTCTAGCGCCGAGGTGAACTCACACGTGCCATGAAGGGCATCGCCGTGAAGCACCGCGCAGTGCTTGGGTCTGCAAAGTAAGGTCTGTAGCCGTGGGCAGGTTGGCTTGGCCCCTTGGCGCCGCCCAGGAGCACACAGTTGAGGTGGCAGGCCTGTGTCTATCTAGCTGCTTTTAAAAACTAAAAGGAACAGGGAGCATTTTGCCTTTTCCTCTACATTTTCCAGTAGAAATGTGACTACAAGTCATTAGAAAACCACCTTTTAGGCAATGTATAGTTCACTGAGAATACACAGACCTGGATAGGTTGTGAGATAATTATCCAGTAAAGAGAATACAGTAACACAACAATGCAGTATATTTCAGTAAAAATAGAATAAATAAAATAAAAATATTTAAGCTGTATTTAACAGGTTAATTAAAAAAAATGCCAAGACACACAAGGCATACTGAACATGGCTGCCTGTTTACTGCATCACAGATATAAAGAATGCATAGATAACTGAAGTGTCACTAAGGTACCAGGTAAAACACTGGCATCCTTTCACAGACAAATACATACATACTTTCATACATACTTTTTGGCCATGGCAGAAAGTGTCCGAACATACCGTTTAACATAATTAATTTTACAAAATTAATTTGCATTTAGTATGCAAAGCTATTTTCAACACAAAAAATGTGCAGTAAAGTTTTCAGTATGTAAAGGCTATCATTCATCTTAATGCATCTCATAATTGCATATATAAATCTGTTTGCTACGTAAAGCTAGCTCAGTATTCCTGATTCTGAAAACAAACAAATAAATGCTTTTAAAAACCGAACAAGGGGTTCTGGTAGAGATTTGCAATATAAAAGTAGATTTCCTGTTTAGAACTTGGAAGTTTATCACACTAACACATTATGCGGTAGATATCAAGACAAAAGATCCTAACTGAATTCTGAACAGCTTTTCAGAGGGCAGTCAGGAGTCTCCTAATGGGAAACTTGCAATGGCACTGGTTAGTCAGATAGCAGAGTGTCAGCTGGAGAGAGGTATAATCATTCCTAAAGCAGAATCACTTCTGTCCTGACGTGAGGTGCTAGCGAGCCATTCCTGTCCCCACAGGCCCCTGCCAGGAGTTCCAGGCAGGAAGGGCAGGCAGGAGGCCACCTGCTGGTGGCGTCAGGTTCTCTGGGGCTAATTCCATGAGTGAGGAAGGCCTACCACAAGGAACATCATCCACGGGAAAATCTCACAGATGGAACAGGCTGAGCTGAAGTCGAACCCTGTCCTCTGCAATCCATCTGAGGCGTGCTGCAAGCTGGGTCATTTGCTAGCTGGACATACCTCTCTACTTACACTGAGTGGGGAACTCTGAGACTGCCCGCCAATGGCTATCCTCAAAACTGCTCTTCTCTGTCTACTCTGAAGCCCAGTGATCTTGGAAGGGCCCTTCCTGACTGGATGGGGGCAGCATCACCCAGCAAGCACCAGGGGTTGGGAGCCATGTGTCCTAGCCCTAGCTCTCTCGTTACCTTTGGGGAGGTGGTAGGCCAGTAGCTTCAGCCTCTTGGTACTTCATATTTTAATTTCTCAAGTGTGGTACTTTCTCTACCGTTTTATAAGGCTCATATGTGATAAGAATGTGGAAATCATTTTGACAAGTACATAGCAATATAGAAACATAAAGTATTACTCTAACTAGATGCTGTAAACGTTAATTCTGACATTAAAAAGTAAATGAGACTAATATTGAGATTGATATCCTTAGCGATTTTCTTTTGAAAACAACAAGGTCAACAGGTCTAAATGTGTGTATCTTTACAGCTAGAGTTTCTTATCTACATAAAAAGCAGTAAAATGCTGTTTTTGGGAAACTTTCTTAAATAGTCCATGATCCCTATGGATATTTGTTCTGATATGAAGTTTTTAAATCTCAAAAGCAAAATGGAAAAAAAATAAATTTTAAAATATATCTAGTTGCATTCAACAAATATCAATTATTAAACACACAAATTGAAGAAAGGTTCAACTTAAGGTAATTTGTTGCCATGGACAATAGGTGATGGACAGACAGCTTTCTGGACAAAAAAATTGGAGTAAGACTGAGCTAGGTGCAGAAGTCCAGCATAACATTGGCCTCTAGGATGTGGGCTAACAAAAATAACATCACGGGGATACGCCAAAGACATAAAATGACACTTCCTTGGGTTGAAATTGCATATTAGCTAATTGTTGAACTAAGGATGAAGGGGTTATGAGGAGTATTTCATTTTCATGTGTGTGTAGAGAATGGCCTTGGTGAACTATATAATTCTCTAGCTGCATTGTACAATATAAGGCAGAAGTTTGAAATGTGTCCCACCCGAAATGCATGGATTTTGTTCATCTCTTTTAAAATAATTGGTTTGAAAACCATCTGAAAAGAAAGGCTACTTTTTGTTCCACTTTAATTTTTGCAAATTTAGTTTCTCATCAATTTTAGAGTTTTACTTTTTCCAACATCCCACAAACAGCTGTAGACATGAAATGGCGTCCGTGTGTCAGAGCTCGTCCAGGAAGGCTGTCTGTCGGTTTCTAGACTGATGCCAACAGCCACACGTCTCAACCAACAGGTTCAACTTCATGAAAAATTCAAACAAAGACTCCTCGTATTTGTACAGTACAATGGTGGCCGCTACGCAGTGTCTACTCCCAGGCTAACAACAGGGCCAAGTGCTGGAGGACTCAAAGGTGGCCGGCCTCAGGGCAGAGCCAGTCCAGGAGCCGGCGGGACGGCCTCGGGCACCGGTGCCTAGCTCACGGGGCACGGTGTGGCCGCACTCTTCCCTGCGTGCGTGAACTTAAGCGATGTCCACAATATTTACAGTAAGAAAAAGACCTCCCACTGCTCGCGAGGTGACTGACTGACAGCAAAAAACAAGTAGTCATGCTTCGTTTCCTATCACAGGATGGCGGCAAGCAAGACGAGAGAGCATGCTTGTCTAACACTGGTGCGGAGCGCGCCCGTGCGCACGAGGCGGCAGCCACGGAGCGGGAGGCCCGGGTCTGGAGTGCAGCTCTTGGCCCTGCGGCTGGGCGCGGCCGCTACGGCGTCTCGGGGACAGGGCGCTTCTGTTTCAAAGTGTCAAGGAGGGACAGGACCCCTCGCTTCACGTTGCTGGTGACTCTCCGGGTCACCGAGTCTGCCGGCGGGGGAGGCGGCCGCACCTTCTGGGAAGGCGGCCTGGCTACCAAGCACTTCTGATACCGCAACTGAAATGAAACGGGAAAACGTTTGAATAAGGCATTTCCTTCTTGTTTAATGTGACTTAATCACTGGCACTGACTCCCAAAAGCAAACGGCCTAACCTCCTAAACATAAATCCGAGAGTTTTTTTCTTTATGCAGTCGTTTTAAATTCTCCTAAAGGATCGTTAGACTCGGCAAAGGTGCTTGGCATTTGCCTCCTGCCCTTCCATCCATCTGCAGCCTCTGCTTGTTGTCAACATCGACAGGCTGCCATTAGTACACCTCCCTGTTGGCATGCTGGGAAAAGCCAGAGGACGGGGTGAGGACTAGGCGCGAGCTCCCGGCTCGGGGAGAGACAACCCGGCTGTCTTGCTCATAGCTGGTGACCCCAGCCAAGTCATCAAATCTCTGCCAGCCTCCTCTTCTGCAACTGTCAAATGGCTCAAGAACGGAGATTATTTCAGAGGGGTTACAATTACCTAGGGAACATTCGTCCAATGCCGGAAATGGCCCTAGCAACACAGAAGCATGCAGACATGCTGTTCCCACCCCTATAGCTTGAGAATAAGCAAGAATACTGTGTCAAGATTTCAGGATACATTTTATATGCATGTCTAAGTCCTGATGGAGTCATTTTTTAGCACTGACACCACAGATAATTTCTATCTTCAGAAATGTAATAACACATTTCACTTACTTTTGCATTAATGGGAAGATAGTGATTCTTCAAAATTAGATTAAAATGTTAAAGACTGATCAAGTTTCTTTTAACCCAAGCACTTGTAAAATAATTCTTTGCCTCATTTTGCAAACTCAGCTTCAGCCTCCATAGGTTCTTCACAGCTACAGAACAGGCTGATGTTTCTGAGAAGCCTACAATAGCTACAGCAACGCTCGAGGAGAAGGGCAGTGTCACAACGTCCTATCATACTCCATAGGCCACGAGCCGGAGGACGATTTACTAGGTCATCTGGGGGAGGAGTCTCGCTAGGTCCACATCACAGCCTAAAGCATGGATGCAGAGGCCGGCAGGTGTGGCGCCACGGGCTGGGCTTGGCCTCTCAGACAGCAGGTGCACACGTCCAGGGCGAGTCACAGCCGCACCCAGCTGGTGCCTCCCACGGAGACTCCCTCAGTCCCACTCCATGTTTCTCCGGCACATCCTCCATTAGGCCTCGGCTGCACACCTGCACAACAGGCCTCAAATTAAGGCCATTCAAAATCGCGTGCTGAGGCCATATTTCGGATGGTGTCGATCCACATGGAGAATCACCCAGCCTGGAATCAGAGACAGCCAGGGCGCTGGAGAAGCCGGGCTCAGAGCAGGCCGGGGAGGTGTGACGTCCCTCGCCAGGCCTCGCACTGGATCAGCAGGGCCGCCGCCCTGGCCGCACAAAGGCCACTAAGACAGCCAGCGAATGAGGACGTGCGGTTTCCAAGAGGGAACAGGAGTCTGGGAATCAGAAAACAAACTGCAGCCTGGGCTGAAGCTCATCGTTTAATCATCCTTAGCATTTAAAACGTGTAACTGAGGCGGAGAGCCACCCATTTTATGACTAAAACTATCTTGTGATCCGTCTCCATTTCATGAACTAGCTCGTGGGCCACCATTTTTGCTTGATGAAATCGCCCACTCCGTACCGCACTTCCGTGGCGCCGGGCTGGCAGGTTCACCAGGGCCTCCCCGACCACTGCCTCGACCCGCTGATCCCACTCTGCTCCTTCCCAGGCAGGTGTAGTGGAGAGAGATGTCGTCCTGGCTGCACAGTTCTTGTGACAGAGCAATGAGTGCCCACCCAAGGCCTCTCCCCATCTCCCTCCCCATCTCCCTTCCTCTCCTTCCTCCCACCACATGTCCAAGGTGTAAGATATTCTTGGCCTTGTGCCCTCACAGACTGTACACAGACAACCAACCAGGGACTCCCTCAACTTCCCCATCTACTCCTGGTTCCTAGCACCTGCCCCTACCAGTCCCCAGATGAACCGGCTAACCAATTAGGAGGCTACTCGATCTTCGGCCAGACCTTGCTGTGAACACAGCCGCATGTGGCTGGATCGTGGGGACTGGTTCTGGGAGACGCACTGGCAGGTGACTGTGTCCTCGTGCGAGTGTTGCGGAGCGTGCCCGCACAAGCACTGCCTACTGCAGCTACGTCACAAACTCGCACGGCGACTTAGTCTAGGCAACTGGAGCTCGGTGGGGAGTGTCTGTATCTAACACAGAACGGGACCGAGCAGATATGGTTCCACGCCGCCCGTGCAGGGCGCTGACCGGGCATGCAGCTCACAGGGCCTGGAGCTGCTCTGCTTGGGTCCACGAGTGAGTGGGGAGTGACCGGGAAGGCCCAGGACATTGCTGTCCGCCACTGCGGACTTTGTAAACACCGCACGCTCAGCCTACACTGCATTTATTTTTCAAGATTTGTGGATTTTTGTTTGTTTGCTTGTTTACTTGAAAGGCAGAGTGACAGAGAAAGAGGGAGATACACAGACAGAGACATCTCCCTTCTGCTGGTTCACTCCCCTAAATAGCTGCAAAGGCTGGGGCTGGGCCAGGCTGAAGCCAGGAACTGGGAGATGTAGCCACATCTCCTATGTGGGTGGCAGAGGCCAAGTACTGACCCGAAGTGGGGCACCTGGGACTCAAACCGGCACTCCGACATGGGACACAGGTGTCACAAGTGGTGGCATAACACACTCAGCCCCCTCTCCACTGAGCTTATAAAAAAATGTATTCTTTCTTCAATAATAAATTAATCTTAGCTTATTGTAACTCTTGTGCCGTATAAACTTTAAAAAAAAAGTTTTTGGACTCTTGCAGTAACATTTAGCTTAAAATACAAACACAGGGGACTGAACTTTCTGGCTCTGTGATCAGCTCGCAGGACCAGCATGGGCTTTATGGCCTGCTGGTGACAGATGTTGATGTGTATGTATGGCCACTGGCCTTTACAGGTGTCTGCCTGCCAGCACTGACTCTGTGCACCCGGGAGGCTGAGTGCCCGATTGGGCTGGGACTACTCACCATGCAGGCGGCCTGCACCGCTTCGGACACGTGCCCGGCGTTGGGCTCGCACCAGAATACGTGGCACTCGAAGCGCTGGCTGCCAGTGTCCATGATGAAGGCAAATGTGTGGATGTCCTTGCCCACGCCCATGAAGGACAGGAACCGCACGCGACACTCCACCAAGATCTCCTCTTCGCTCTGCAAGAGACACCGTTCAGTGCCCCGGGGTCCCTGGGAAGCCGGGCAGCAGTCCCCACGAACGGGTGGGTCAGCAACAGAGCGGCAGCACACGAGAACTGCCCGACCAAACTCAGAAAGGACCTGGGTGTTTTCCAGGAAAGCAATACCTTGCCGGCTGCGTGGTCAGGCTGCCCAGCCGTGAGCGTCATCCTGGCTTTCCATCTCTCGCTCTGAACACGCTGCAGTCATGGTGTGCCACGGGGCTGCCGAGTTTCCGTGTGGCAAACACACCTCTTACACACAGCCCCGGGCAGGTGCACAGCGAGCGGCTCAAGCCCTGTGTGAGTCCCCCATCCCCCTGCCCCAAGTAAAATATTCACTGTGTTTCTCTTCCTCTAGTCTCCCAACCCAAGCTAAACAAAGTCCCATTCAATCACATCCTACCGAAAACCAGGTCAAACGAAAAGTTGCCCAATCATGTTTTCCCTTTCTTGCAAATCAGTATCCACATGAAGTCGTGTGAACTGCTTGGAGAATTCAACCTTATGGTCATAAACATTACCTCTTCTGCACTGACCACATGCAATTAATTTATTTCAGAGGAAGAGAAGCAGAGGGAGAGACAGACAGCTCCAATTCACTGTATAACTCCCCAGATACCCACAATGGCTTCAGGCCAGGGGCCAGAGCTGCGAGCTGGGAGCTGGGAGCTGGGAGCTGGGAGCTGGGAGCTGGGAGCTGAATCCAGGTCTCTCATGTGAGTAACAGGAATCCAATCACTTGAGCCACCAAGCCCGGGTCAGAAGTGGATGTGGGACGCAGGCCCAAGCTCTCTGATACGGGGATGTGAATGTCTTAGTGCCACAGCAGTCACCCCGAGATGCAAGGTTTGAATCAGTCGACACATCCAAAATGTTGACTTTCGGGCCATTATCATCTTGACCTATTGAGCTTTCACTTGGATGCTGTTGGAGTGGTTAACAGACAAACTATACTGCTCTAAGATATGAGGGCGTTTTCCTAAGGAGCTGCAATGGGGGTACGGTGGGGTGGCAAGGGGAGGAGCATGGCAGGCCCGGGTAGGAGGGGGCTGAAGGAACCGGCATGGCAGCCAGTGGGCGCCTGTGCTCTGCAGAGGGTGACCCGGGCGTGAAGGTGACCCGTGCAGGGACGACAGGGCAGGCCTTTCCACAATTGGGCTGGACAACTGTGTGGCACGGGCCAAGTTGCTTCACGTCTCTGGGCTTCTGCTTGCTCAGCCACAGCACTGGGCTAAGCTGGGCTGAGGCTGACACTGGCCTCTCCGCAGGACACTGACCCCTGCCCCTGCCGACAGCACCAAGGACCTTCCCTAGGGGATGCGACTTTGAGCCCTGACCCCAGGCGACACAGCTAAGTCAGTGCTGAAGCACTAGCGAGGACTGGAACCCCAGCTCCCGGGGGAGCTCCAGTCAGCACCACTCAGTCACCCTGGGCACATGACTCTGACCTCGGGGGCCTGTGGAGACGTCAGAATCAGAAGCACCAGAAGCCAAGTCTCTAAGCCCCAGGGAAGCACAGGGGCTCAGCTTCAGACAGAGAGAAAGGGCTAAAAATAAAACCATTTAATCACTTCATTTTAATCAGTTAATCGACCTGAGAGATAGACATGCATTAACACTCACACACAGGGACAGAGACAGAGAGACCGAGAGAGAGAGAGAGAGAGAGAGAGAGAGAGAGAGATCGTCCATCTGATATTTCACTCCCCCAAAACCCACAAGAGCCAGAGCTGGGCCGGGCCAAAGCCAGGAGCCTAGGACAGGACTCCATGCAGGTCTCCTACAGGGGTGGCAGGAACCCAAGTATTTGAGCCATCACTGCTACCTCCCAGTGTCTGCATTAAGGAAGCTGGAAGGGAAGCGGGGTCAGGACTGCACCCGGGCACTGTGACATGGGACACAGGTGCACTGACCGGTGTCTTAACTGCAATGCCAAGCACCTGCCCTGAAGGCCATTTTAGTCCCAAGTAAACATGACTCCCAGGAGGTCAAGCCTCGAAAACTCCCTCGCATCCAGTCCAAGGCCATCTGTGATTCCTGCTCACCTTCTCACTGATGACCGTCACAGTAGCATCAGCTACGTTCATGTTCACCGACGGCCACGCCTCCTTGTCGGACGAGGTCATGAGACTTTCTATGGCACTGTTCAGGGTATCCATGCCTGTGGACGGGAAGGATCATCACGAGAGCCCTAGAGCAATGCATCTCTCTCAAGTGCAGGGTCACCCCGCCCACAGTCTTATCTGGCCCAGTGGAAGGCCACGCCTCCCAGACTCCCTTCAGCGTGGCATGGCCAAGCCACTGGGACGTGAGCTGAATGCAGTGTCTGCCACTTCTGGAGGGCACAAGGGTTCCCTCACAACTTCCTACTGCCCCTTCCACCAGGTAACAGGAGCTCAGGCAGGTGCCCTGCCCCACTGGAGAGCAGCTGAGCCCTTTCCCAGCCCCGGGCTGCCCATCCCTGGACTGTGGGGGAAACAGGAAACACGTGTGTCTGTCTGGTGACCACTTCTGAGTGCTGGGCACACCTGTCAAAGCAGCTCAGCTTGGCCCATCCTGCTTATTTGATCAGGCCTGCTTCTGTGTCTGGGTTCTGGCTGGTGAGGGTGTCAGGGGGCTTGATTTGAGACAAGGCAGCATGTGAAGCGGTAGATCTCAACTCTCCTGGGGGGTGACCATCTCCCAGGGGCTCCCCAACACCGCATGGCTGAGAAGCCACACATGTTGTACATACCGACTGGCTTGTCGACAGGGAGCATTCCCAGGTACTGAACGTGGAACTTCTGGACCAGCTCTGTCTTTGGTGTTGGAAAGTCTACTGCAGGGAACAAAGCAGAATGTCTTTCTCAGTGGTGCCAGCGCACACGTCACAACAGCCAGCACACCGGACACCAAGTACCGGATGGCCCTGGGTTTCCGAATGTGACTGTGGCGATTGTTCTGGAAGGACGGCATTTCCAACTGCAGATCCTGGGACTCTGCTGGTCAGAATACAACTCGGCTTTCATCTCCAGGCACAAAAGCATCTGAAAGCTGGAGCTGGAATCTGTGAGGCAGCTGCTGTCTCTCTGATGCGCGCTCAGTAAGCACTTTTGATGTGTGTGTGACTTGTGCTCGATGCTCAAGAAACGAACCACAAGGGCCCAGCAGCATAGGAAAAATAACCAAAGCGTCCCCCCGCCGTCAATCCATGTATCTTTAAACTAGCGGGTCCTTACCCAGGCTGCACGTGCAGTACGGGACCACCACCAACACCCCTTCTCCTTGTGCAGGGACAGCAGGACCACCCTGGCCCTCTGTGCCTCTGTGGCAGCCACGGCGCATGCTCGGCCCGTACTTGTTGAGTGACAGCCACCCGAGACCCCTTGGTTCTCACCCAGGGGGTGGAAAGCACCGTCGTGAAGACCAGAGAGGCCGCCCACCTACCTTGCAAAGGAACGTCGAGATTCGCGTGGGTCCTCTCCTGCAAGGCGCTACAGGCCAGGGCCTTGGCATTCTTCCGCTCAGCCATAATCTAAAGCGGGGAGGGGTGGGACAGACACAGCCATGGCTCCTGGTTAGAGAACCCCAGATCTTTAGCAGTTCCTGCCAGTGAAGCGTCTGAGTGGATTCCACTTCTGAGACAGGTTCACTTAAGTCTATGCGTCTGCATCTCTGGGTTGCCCACCCTGAGGTTTCTGCTCATGCTCCCTGGGGACAGGAGGTGAGTGACCGCTCCTACAGTAACTGTCTCCTAGTGGTTTGGAACTGACTTCTTCCACTCTCGGCTGAAGACGCCCCAAGCCCCGCCCCCTTCCCTGTCCCTCGTAGGCCTGCTGGCTGCTGTGGCCCATGGGACTCCAGGTGCTGGGCTTCCCCAGAGCTTCCGGGTGACTGACTATCACGTAGAGGAAATGAGTTCAGATCACACCTCTGCCACTTCCTCACCGTGTGACCTTGGGCAGGTCAGCTGACAGCCTGCATCTCACTTCCTCAAGTGCACAGGGCGATGGTAAGGATTTCTATGTTGGAGTATTCGTGTTTCAAGAACTGAGCGAACATAGGACAGGCCCAGACAGCAAGGACACTCAGAAAGAAAGGTGAGGGACTGGCACCGTGACACAGCAGGTTAAGCTGCCACCGGTGTCACTGGCATTCCATGTGAGCACTGGGCTTGAGTCCTGGCTGCTCCGCATCTGATCCGGCTTCTGCTAATGTGCCTGGAAAAGCAGTGGGCCCCTGCACCCACGTGGGAGACCTGGAAGAAGCTCCTGGCTCCTGGCTTCAGCCTGGCCCAGCTCCAACCATTGCAGTTATTTGAAGAGTGAAGCAGTGGATGGAAGATCTCTCTCTCTCTCTCTCTCTCTCTCTCTCTGTAACTCTGCTTTTCAAATAACTAATTCTTTGGGGAAAAAAAAATAAAAAAGAAGGGAGGGAGGAAAGGAGGAAGGAGAGGAAGGGAGAGGGAAAGGTGAGCCTCACTACCGTTATTTTCAAATGTTTGCCAATTGTCTCTCTTCTCTCAGGGATGCCGATGTCTGCTTTCATCAAGAGTCCCCACTTGGGGCCGGCGCTGTGGCACAGCAGGTTAACCACTGTCTGCAGTGCCAGCATCTCTTTTGGCCGCCGGTTTGAGTTCCGGCTGTTCTACTTTTGATCCAGCTCCCCCACCCCCAAGGTGCCTGGGAAAGGCAGTGGAAGATGGGCCAAGTCTTTGGACCCCTGCACCCACATGGGAGACCCAGATGAAGTTCCTGGCTGTTGTAGCCATCTGAGGAGTGAACCAGCAGATGGAAGATCTCTCTCTGTGTCACTCTGTCTTTCAAATAAAATAAATACATTAAAAAAAAAAAAAAAGAGTCCTCACTCTCCTTACTTCTGAAGCCTGTTCCCTGCTGTGGATTTAGGGACTCAAAGCAGCCTAGCATTTGATGATCCCAGCGGTAGCTCACCCCATCACCCCCAGCCTGAGCTTTATTCCAGAGCGAATGACAGCCTCTTCCACCCCAGGGCCGCACTCGCCCACCTCCGCATCCTGTGCCTGGGCAGCGAGCAGAAAGCCTGCTGATCATAATGGTGGTGAACACTAACTGAACACTTGCTCGTGCCAGGCCACTTCTGCAGGCTTTGCACAAGCAGACAAGAGACAAAAGGGCAGCCTTGTGTCTCCTCTTCACTGCTGTCTCTCTGGTGCCCAGAACACTGCCTGGCACACACATGGCATTCAGCTGTATCAGTCCCATGAGTGGATGAGAAAGACAAAAGCTGGGGGGTGAGCCACATTCTCTAGAACGTCTCTGTCGTTCAGGTCATGTTCTGGGGTCCCTCCCTCAGGCTTGGGCGTGCAGCTGGGCCACAGTCCGGGCTAGGGCTCAGAAGGAACTGTGGGAGTGAAGTGGAGGCGTGACAGCAGCCTGAACCAGGAAGCGGGCGTTCAACTGAGGCGGTGGCGAAACCCTGTGTCCAGAGCCAGTGAAAGGGCTCTGAGGAATGGAAGGAAGCTGGTGGCTGTGTCTCAGGCGGTTGGCCAAGTGCAAGGGTGATACTGTGGGGAGCAGGGCCCATCGCCGGGGAGACAAATAAGTACTAAGACTGTGGACAAATAAATACTGAGGACAAATACTGAGATTACTGAGACTAGACTAAACTACTGGAACTGCTAAGACTAACTCTATGCATCTGATCTCCCACCATGTGGCGCTGAGAGAGAATAAACAACTTCTACACAGCTGCCTCACCAATTTGACTAACAAGCTGCAGGAGCTGATCCTGACTCTGATCGGAGGAGAGCAGCATGCTCAGCGCGTGGGGAGAGAACGCCAGCAGAGTTGGGATTGGTGGAAGAGGACTATAAAGGAGGAGAGAGACAACATGCAGGAGGAACATCTGAGGAACCCCTGAGAGAGCCGGCCGGCGGTGTGCCGCTCCTCCGCGGAAGTGGGGGAAGCAGCGGGGGTGCTGCCCCTCCGCGGGCCACTGTGGCTACTTGTGGGGGAATCAGCGTGCCCAGAGGAGGATGTTAGGACTGGCATAGCCACACGGTCCACAGTGGCTGCAGAGACAGGCTGGGGGCCAGGGCAGGAAGTTTCAACCACAGATCCGTGCCCTGTACCTCTAAAACGTGCCAGGCACACAGCGAGGCCGCAGGTGTGCAAAGGGCTGGCCCGCAGAGACAATGGGAAGAGCCCTCCCTGCTGCCACAGCTGGCAGATCTCAAAGTACCTGGAGGTTCTGGGCAGGAAGCAAGGACTCCGTGAGAGCCAGAGCTGCTCAGGAACAGTAAGAGGGGCACCGTGGAAGGAGCCCAGCAGAGCGGGGTGGGGGCGGGGGCGTCTGCGCGGCCAATGCTGTGCTGCAGAGCGGGGTCTGGATGGACCGGGGACGCCAGGCTGTGCTCACTCTGGGGTTCTGTGACTCTGCTTAAGGAAGCACAGCCCTCCCGGCCTGACCAGTGACTGCAGCCCTGGCTCCCAGCTGGACAGCGTGTCCTCCGCGTCCTCATGTGCTCCTTGTAAGCCCTCGCTGTCTGTGCCCCAGACACCCCCTGCCCCCGGCTTCTCGCCACTCTTCCTTTCTCCCAGTCCTTTCTGCAGTTGCGTTCACTCTCAGATCAGATGGCCCGGATCCTGGGAAATCTGCCGACGCCCCTTCTGGTTGTCAGCAGTGTGCCCTCCTCCACCATACCTGCCATTGTCCCCCCCCCACACACACACCCCCAGGCTGTGGGAGGAGCTAAGGTTCTTCTCATTTTCCAGCTGAGCGCTTCTGAGCGCAGCCCCAGGCCCTCGGGAAGCATGCAGCCCGCCGTCCGCATCTGCGGGTTCCACATCATGGATTCAACCGACCAAGGACAGAAACCGTAACTGCCAACGGGTAATAGGTAGTGAGACTCAGCACGGCTGCTTTTGTACCGAATGCACAAGTGTTTTTCTCGTTATTCCCTAAAAAACACTGTGTAACAAGTATTTGCACAGCGTTTCCGTCGTATTAGATATTAAAAGTAACCCAGGGATGATTCAAAGGACACGGGAAGTTACATGCAAACACTGCAGGGCACCACGTCCTGGACCTGAGCATCATGATACTGAAGGAAAACCGGACTTCAATGGCGCTGCCCTGACAACCTGCGCCCCAGGTGCAAGCCAATGTGCCCACTCCCCCGCCCTTCTACAGCCTTTTACCTGCCCAGAAAAAGGAGAGAAGAGAGGCAGACGGCTGAGTGCGGACCCACCTTACCTTGGAACAGATTTCGTGGAGACTTGTGGCGATGGCTTTTGCTGGTGTGTCACATCGAAATACATGACATTTCAAAATTCTTGTATCTTTGTCTCTTGCTACATAAGCAAAATCCCTGTGCAAAGAAAATGTATCAGCCCATGAGAAAAAGGGAACCTCTAGCAACGCACACTCTGGTTAAGCATGATAACTGAGCTAGCTGATGGCACGTGGGTGGTGATAGTGTGGATGCACTGATTAAAAACAAATCAAATCCCAACAGCTACTGAAGGCGGAGGCACAGTTTGTATGGACATTAGGGACTCAATTCTGAGGGACAGTTATGCAGTGGTCTCCAAACCCCCTCAGTGGGACTCTTGGGGTCCCTAACAACTCTCCATGAGAACTGGATTTTGAAAGCACCCTTCTCTGCGGTGCTGTAACATACATCAGGACCACACATCAGAACACAGAGAGCATGAGTTGCATGAGTGACACAATGACTCACTCAGCGGTGCAGAAGCAAAACAAAAGGCCCCGATGTGTAAGCTGGTGTACAGAGCAGCAGACGGCGACCACAGGGCATGCCGGGACACAAGGGGACAGTGCCGGCTGGAATCCCATCAATGCCGTCTTGCTTCTGTTCCACAGGCCCCTACTCCAGCTCTCAGCGCCCAGTCACCTCCTCTGTCCTCAGCTCAGGCACCATAGAGACCCAGCCCGTGCTGGATGCTAGCATTTGTTTCCCTGATACGGAGGCCATGGGCTGCAATGTCGCTGGGCTTCAAAAGGACCACGGGATGCTATGCAATTTCCCACTAGTTATTGGAGGCCAGTGGTTCCACGAGGAGAGTGTTCACGAAAGATAAACGCCCAGCTTCAGCCAGGCAGCGACGCATCAGTGATTTATGTGTGGCTGAGGCGGAGCCAGGATCAAACCACAGAGGAGCTTATTTGAAGGCATCCCTGTCCCTGTGAGAACGGCTGGTCTTTCCACAGATGCTGCTGCTGCTGCTGCTGATGCATACTTTTCCTGAGAGCCAGGACCTCCCTGGGAAGGCTCAGTGACTGCCACTGGAGGCAACAGTCCATGGTGAGGATGTGGCTAGAGAAACCCTGGGGCTCTGGGCCTGGAGACCTGGGACACCAGGCGGACCGGCCAGAGGAGAGGAGCCTTGCCTCTAGGCATTGCCATGCCCCGTCAGCTCTAAGTCGGGTGTCTCTACTTGGCCAGTCCAACAGGCACTTGAACCCCAGACAATCCAGGCCTGACCTCTACCTCTGCCCTTCCCAGCCTTCTCTGGCCTCTGCCTCACCAATGGCAAGGCCACCACACCTCACTTTCCACATCCAGCCCCACGTCTGGCCTACTTTACCTCTTGGAAATCTCCAGATTCCACCCCTCCTCTTCCAACCCTCCTACCACTCAGCATCCTAAGCAGTTTCTCCCACCCCTGAGTCCCTCCCTCATCGCTGCTTAGGGCTCAGCCAGAGCAGGTGAGCACCCCTCCCTGGCACTGCCCAGTACCGCCCCCAGGTCCCGCGGACACACAGTGCTCCCTGCTGGGCACACAATGTGTGGCCTGTCTTCTTTACAGCTCCCTGAAGCCCCATGCATGTGGCCTGTGCCTTACTCATGCCCACCACCTCGCCCAGGGCCTCCAGCCACGGAAGTTGGCCCTCAGTCAGCTGTGCGTGGCCTCTCAGACGGCGGGCAGGGGGCTGGGGCTGCATGAGGCACGGGCCTGGATGTTGAGGGTGAGCAGTCTCGCAGGTCCCCAGGCCTTCCCATCCTCGTCTCAACCACCATCAAGGTGACACAGTGTTCAAAGATGATGTGAAAGGAAGGTACCGCCCGTGCACACGCCACGGCAGGGAAACCCTGGTTCTGCTCCACCTCCCTCTGGCTTCTCTTCTTCCCCAGCCAGATCACGAAGCCACACCCACAACAATGTCCCCACATGCAACCCTTCCTTTAACCCTGCACATCCAGCCACCATTCTTCTGAGGCCCCGCCTCTGCAGCACGCCGGAGGTCACCCATGGGAAGTCCAGATGCCTTGGACTGCGGATCCAGAGCTCCAGGATTTGTCCACCTGCTCTGCAGCACTGCCCTCCCCCCCAGGAGATGCCCCCGGCCCGTCTGCCCCACTGTGTCTGCAGCACATTTACCTACTGCTGCAGCCCAGCTCCGAGAAGGAGCCTGCCTCGCCCTCTGGCCCCAGCAGCTGGTTTGTGTCTAACCATCACCAGATTTAACTGTACCAGGAGAATTGGCCACTACCTGTGATCTTTGGTAGCTGCTGTCCAGGTCCCCCCCTCCCCCCGTGCCTGCTTCCTTAAAGGGACAGAGTAACGTGCAGCCAGAGGGTTGTAGTGGGGGAGCCCAGATCTGCCTCCCACTCCCGTTTCCTCTTGGCTTCACACAGTGGGCAGCCCCCTCTGCAAATCTGAAACTGAAAATGCTCCGAAATCTGAAACTTTTGCAGTGTCACGAGTGGAATTACACTGCACAAAACCCTTTTTCCATGGTCGAAACAGTCAAATCTACCATATAAAATGAACTTCAGGTTACGTGGAGAAGGCATCCCTGAGTTATAAATCAATTTCACGGGTAGACTTGGGTCCTACCCTCAAGGTATCTCGTCATATGGATGCAAATATTCCAAAATCGGAAGAAACAAACTCATAATCTGAAACGCTTCTAGGTCCCGGCATCTCAGGATAAGGGCGACCTTGGCCATGGAATTTAACATCATCGTTAAGTGAGGGGGGCTGAGAAACACGGTGCCCACGGTGCCCCTCAGGCTCTGGCACGCTCTGACGCCGGCTCCCAGTGCCGGGGCTGCCCAGCGGAGCAGGAACAGGCCCTGGTCAGCGAGCCGCAGCTCGATACCACCACCCCGCAGCCCTGCGCCCGCTCTCCTCTCCTAGGTGACCTGAGGCTCAGTTACAGCAATCATGAGCGTGAATCTCCATCTTTCTTCGGCTCAGCTCTGGGGACTGACTTCTGAGGGCAACCACCGGGCACCCGCTTCCACCCGAATGGAGGCAGTGTCGGCAGGGAGTCTCAGAATTAGTTTTTTTTTTTTTTTTTTAAATCCTTATTTTTTCCAGCTTCTTTCCAGGTACCATGCTAACAGATTCAGGAGGCCAAAATCTGCCAGTCCCTGACAGCGGACAAAGCCCAGTATGTACCCCTACCGAGGTCTTATCTGCTTCCTGGGAGAAAATGAGTTTCTTTCTCTCCTCACTGTGGAGCTCAAGAGATTTGCACGCCTCCTAAGCTCCCTGGTAGCCCTGAACATGCGCGTGGGCACTTCCGGCAGCTAGGGCGCCCCCGTGCACGGCTGACACAGGGCTGGTCGAATCACTCAAATGCATCACTCAAATGCAAGCCCAACGGCACCCCACCGGTGGTTCTGAAAGCCTGGCTGTTCAGCACGGCTCTGGGAGACACTAGGATGTGCCGCGCCCCCTCCCCCACAAGGGGTCTATGACAAGGACCTCCAGGTGGGATGCTGTCCTGTCTGGGAGAGCCCAAGGAAACCGCAAAGGGAAGGATGAGGGCCTCTTCTACTGAGTCAAAGGACAGGACGCGGAGGCCACAAGCCACACGACACAGTGGCCTCAACTCTCCCCAGGAGCCTCCAGGAGGGCACAGCTCTGCCAGCGCGTGAGGTGTAGCCTCTAGCTCCCAGGACAGTCAGAGAATGCATCTGTGTTGCTGTAGGCCGCTAGGTGTATGGTAATTTCTTACGGAGGAAACCAACTCAGCTGCTGTTTGGTAACTAAATTATGATACTCTATGGAAGGCACATGTTGTGCAATATTCGATTCACCCCCATGAATACCTTGTGAGCCCCTGTTAGGCCCCAGGCAGCAGAGATGTGGACACAAACAGGTCAGGTTCCAGCTAGAGAGCCCACTGGCCACTGCTGCACAGGGACAGCAGCACTGGTGCAGGGTAAGAAGGCAGGGGGTGGTTCAAGGGACATGAAGCGAGCAGGACCAAAGATATAAGGGACGTGGGTCCGGGGCGTGTCACCCCCATGGCCCTGTGGTGAGGGACACGGCGTGGCTGCAGGGACTCACATGGCTGGCAGAATGCCCACTCTGTACCATCCAACCCTTGGAGCATGCGTGTGACCCTTCTGATGTGGAACCAAGTGGGCCAAGGGAAGGGGAGCCCTGGGGGCTGCTGTGTGGTCCATGTGAGGGAGGACGAGCAGGGTGCAGAGCGGATAGGTGGGAGGTGGCACTGGCGGGACCCACAGGTGTGGAGACGAGAATGACACACACACTCCGGGGTCCCTGCTAGGACAACTGAGTGTCCCCATTACTGGGTGAGAGAGAGAGAGAGAGAGAGAGAGAGAGAGAGAGAGAGAGAGGAGAAGCTCCAGCCTGGATGGCTTGGGGGCACTAGGTGCAAGGCCCACCAAGCAGGTGGAAACTGGTCCCTACACTCAAAGCTGTGGTCTGGGGCCGGAGAACACAAGCCCCTGGGAAGGCATTTGGCAGTTTGGGGCCAAGCAGGATTGAGGAAGAGCAGAGGAATTAAAACCAAAAGGCCTGGCCCCCTGAAGGGGTGGAAGGACACAAGAAAGGGAAAGGCCCAGTGACAAGAGCAACGGGGGAGGGGGCGGGGAAGGCCCATGAGATGCTGGCGGTAGAGACATCAAAGGCCATTCAGGGAGGAGGGTGCAGAGGGCTGCAGGGTCCATACAGGCGGAGCAGGAGGTAGACCAGCTGGTCTCGGCACAGGGAGCTTTGCCGTGACCTTGGCCTCCTGGACCCTTTCCCTGAAGTAGGGGGCTTTGGGACCTCAGCTGCAGGAGTCTGAGAAGCACAGAAGTCAGAATGCACTCCTCCTTTCACTCTCTTTTGTTTTTTAAAGTTCTCATTCTGGAACTTTTCAAACACACACAAAAGTACGGTAAGTGAACTAGCTCGTCCCACCCCCAGCTTCAGGAAGCTGAAACTGTCCCCACGCAGCAGCCCCCACCTGCCCCTGGGCACTGCTATGAGTCTAGAGCCATCAGGCTCACTCGCAGGAGACCCTTAGTATTTTCTAGACACTTCCCTGTCCTCTGAGAGGACAAGAGGCTGCTCTAAGATAAACACACCCATTCAGGGA